CACACACATTTGGCAGCTGTATCTTTTTCCATCTTTTGACTTGCAACCTTTATGTGACCTTATATTTTAGGCATGTGTCTTGGAAACTGCAGATAACTGTATGTTTTAAAAATCCAGCAACTCAAATAAATAAAAAGGAAAAAAAATTGAATAGTTCTTTTTAGCTGAATAATCTATGTCAGCTAACAACCAGATTGAGTGGACTTGTATTTATTGTACTAGTTTACTTGCACTTGCTTCATCTATTTTATTTTACCTTTTTATTGCTTCATCCATTTTAGATTGTGACATTTGTTCCATTTTTCCTATGCTTTTTTCTTCTTTGCTTCCTTTTAGAAATAATGAATAATTGGTTGTTTATTTGCTTACATATCACATTTTTCCCTCTACTAGTTTAAAAGCTACGAACTCTATTTCTGTTTTATTTTTTTTTAGTGGTTACCCTTGTAATGGCTATTGTGCATGCATAACAAGGCCTATAGTTATTTTTTACTCTACATTCCCTTTTGAGCAAGGCTATAACCCTGTAGCCACAGCTGCAATCATATTTCTCCCAACTTCCTTTGTAGGACAACATTTTAGTCCCTTTTCTAATCTTACAAAGTAGATATTATTATTGTTTTGACTTTATAGAGATCATGTTTATTTAGATTTATCAGTTTCTTGGCTTTCCTTTTTATATTGCATCTTAGATCTTTTTTTATATCATTTCTTTTTTCATTGAAGTATAATTAACATGCAGTATTATATTAGCTTCAGGTGTATAATATAGTGATTCAGCAATTCTTTTTTATTTTTTTAAAGATTTTTCTTTTTATTTATTTGAGAGGAAAGAGAGAGAGCCTGAGTGGGGGTATGTAGAGGCAGAGGAAGAATGTGGGGCTTGATCCCAGGACCCTGAGATCATGACCTGAGCTGAAGGCAGACGCTTCACTCACTGAGCCACCCAGGTGGCCCTGATTCAGCACTTCTATACATCACTCAGTGCTCCTCATGATAAGTGGACTCTTGATCGCCTTCACCTATTTCACACATTCCCCCACCTACCTCCCCTTTGGCAACCAGCAGTTTTTTCTCTGTATATAAGTGTCTATTTTTTTGTTTGTCTCTTTTTAATTTGTTCAAATGTTTTGTTTCTTCAATTCCACATATGAATGAAATCATGTGGTATTTGTCTTTCTTGGATTTACTTATTTCACTTAGCATAATACTCTCTATATCCATCCATATTGTTGCGAATGGCAAGATTTCATTCTTTTTAATACTGAGTAATATTCTATTGTATATATATATATATATACCACATCTTCTTTATCCATTCATCTATCACTGCATATTTGTGTTGCTTCCATATTTTGGCTATTGTAAATAATGCTGCAGTAAACATAGTGGTGCATGTATCTTTTTGATTAGTGTTTTCCTATTCTTTGGGTAAATACTCAGTAGTGGAATCAGTGGATCATGTGGTAATTCTATTTTTCATTTTTTTGAGGAAACTCCATACTGTTTTCCAGAGTGGCTGCACCAGTTTGCATTCCCACCAACAGTGCAAGAGGGTTCCTTTCTCTCCACATCCTTCCCAACACTTATTATTTCTTGAGTTTCTGATCAGTATCATTTTCTGTCTTTCTTAACTACAGACATTCCTGCTACAACATGATATGTGCATTCCTGAAAATGCCATGCCCTGGAAATAATAGGCCTTATAGTAGGGTAAAGGGCAATGATTCCACATCTGTGCAACTCTGTAACTAGAACACTAACACAAATAGGAAAAACCCTAATCAAATTGAGTGCCAGCAGAGTTAAATCTCTGTTGGTATTGACACCTGGCGTCGAGCCTTCAGCCTTGCCCACTTCTTTGACACGACCTCCCTTAGGGGCGTTTTCCTCCAGTGGAGGCCAGCCTCCTCTTGCACATACGCAGCAGTGGGGGGCGGGGGGGATTAACTGGGGCTGATGGAGTGACTCACGTCTTCCCCGCACTTCACTCTGGGTTTTTGCCCCTCATTCGCAGAGACTTTGTCATTCCCAAACTCCAGTCTTTTTCTCTTCCTCCCTGTAAGAGTGTTGCTTTCTACTGGGTTCTGTTTCCTTGCACTGCAAATAGGTACATGGCCTTAGGGGAAAATTGGGGGGAATATGGGGTCACCTCTGTGCTTCCCTTCCTCCAAGGTTTGTGGCTTCTTGGCTTCTGTCCAAGTCGATTTGTTCCCAAAGCCTTTAAACACTTACATTATATATTTTGTTCAGTTTTTATAGTTGTTTTCAGTGGGAGGATGAGTCCATTTTAAGTTTCTCTGTCACAGGTCATGGAAATGCTGGGTTAATTTTATAGACTTCTATTTGTTCATTTCTTTAAGATTAATTTTTTATTGATTTACATATTTATATTTAGCTACTTTATATTCTCCATCTAAATTTTTTTTTTTTAATTCTTGTATCTGAAGTCTGTGGGGGGTGTAAACCAATTACTTATTTCTGCTGTCTTTCATCCATGGTGACCTTGCTTCCTGGTCTGTTTGGTGATATTTTTTATTTTGAGTTCATATATGACTGACCTTAATCCACCATTTCTTGGCTGGGGTTTTGTGAGATAATGAAGCCCTATAGAAAATGAATTGATGGACTGCTTTTTCAGTTCTCTCAAGGGTGGCATATAGCTAGTGCCCTTCTGAATGTATAGGAGAGAAATTCTTTCTGTAGCATGGATGTCTGTAGGGCTGAAATTCTCTTCAAGTTGAGATGGGTTGCCCAATCTGTAGGACCAGATGAGGGATGCTTGTGTCATTACATTTGCTTTCTCAGAAGCCCAGGGCACTACCAGTCTGGGCTCACTTTAGCTCTCTTTGACAAGAGCAGTTTAGTATGAACCCTCATGTAGCTCCCTACCTTGTAGTGAGCCCAAGGCTCAGGACCCTTATCCCAGCCTTGGTAGATCATTTCCCCACAAGGTAGTGTCTCAGTTCTTCATCTAGAACAGAAAGGTGATGGCACAAGCTGGTGAGTGCTGTTACGAGGCATAAAGCGCTTGGACCATGTCCAGCATGTGGTTGTTTCTCGTGAATGTTTTCTTCATCCTTGCTCTGTATCTGGCCATTTTGCTGGATGGAGTGTCCTGTTTCATGATTTAATTTTTGTTACTGTCAGGTCTTTTGTTTGTTTGTTTTTTAGTAATCTGCTTCGAACAATGAACTTAGTGTGCTGCAGTTCCATTTTGATCCTCTCCTGTTTTTCTTGGTCTTCTTTGACTTCATTGATGACTTTTGTTGTTGCTGTAAATCTATTTCAGGAGGAGTATTTCCATCCAGTTTCTGGCATCTTTGTTCCACTTATTTTGAGCAGCAAAATTCTTCGAGTCCATATTGGTCCTGCCTTATTGTTATTGTGGAGGAGTCTGAAAAGAAAAACTGTGGTTTTAAAATAATAAACGTTTCTTAACTTAAAAATAATGCATGCTCATCATGGAAAATTTTTTCAAATGTTAAAAGTATAGTGAAGAGAATTAAAATTACTGTCAGCTGTTGAGAGATCACCACAATTATTGTTATTGTTTTGGTGTTATTTCTCTCCCCACATATATTATTGTTTTGGAGTTGAGCTCATCTGGGATGTACAAGTATGCAGCCTTTTTTTTTAACTTACAATATCATAAGCTTCTTTTGTCATTGAAACTATTTGTAGGCATTTTTAATATCTGTAGTATGGTGAATCATGTGAATATTGCATACTTAGTCTTTTTCCTATGATTGTACATTTTGTAATTTTTTTGTTATCGTAGAGGAACTTACAACAAACTCCTTTGTGAATACAGGTTACAGATTAAATCAATAAATAGAATTTTTTAGGACTTTATTGCCAAATTGCTCTCTGAGAAGATTATATAATGACACCATCAGCAGGGAGCTCCTGCTGTTGCTATGAGCTCTTCCACATGCACCCAGGGCTGCTTCTCGGGCTAGCGGTCCTCTCTGGGACTGGCGGCCACACAGGCTCTGGGGATAACCACCCTTGTTTCTGCTGCCTTTTAACATCCTCTTTGTGTTTATGTTTCTTGTAAGAAGTAAAAATGAGGTACAGTAGTAGGCATTGGCTCCAAGTCACTGCCCTGTGTTCCTGGGCATCCCTGAGGTCTTGGGAACTCTGTTAACCCACAAGAATGGAAACATACTTTGGGATAGTGAAAAATGAAAAGTCACTGTGAGAAAAACACTACGTATAGACACCAGAATCTACTTAACAAGAATAAGAATCTACCTAAGAGAATCTACTTAACAAGACATCTTAACCCTGGGTAGTTTGATTAGTGGGAAGGCAAAGGATGGGGGCTTAGGGACCGGGGAATGAGCAGTGAGGAACCGAGCAGGAGCCCATATGAGATGTGGGCTCTGCTGAAGTTCTCCCTGGGTCACCACCCTGGCTCTGCAGACCTTTGCCAGGGTCCTGAAGGAGAGAATCCTGGGCAGGGTCTGCCTGGATTCCTAGGTTCAGAAGAGTGTCCAGGGCTGGCCCCTGCCCCTCCCTGCCCTGCTGTCCCACGATCCCTGCAGAAGCAGTGGGGCAGTGGTGCCTTTTCTCGAGGAGGCACTGAGCCCTGAACCGGGGGTGGGGTGGGGCGGGAAGCCTGCTGGCCCTGGTCTCTGGGGCCGAGGGGCGAGGGGGACTTGGGTGTCAGTAGAACATCTAGACCAGCGGCCCCTAGTGGAGGCAGAGGCCCACAGCCCGCCGCACGGGGCCTGGTGCTGCCCCTGCCCTGACCCTTGTGCAGGGAGAGGTGAGGAAGGGCCTCCAGTGCTGGCTCAGTCCTCAGTCGTGATCTGTCCATGATTGGAGGGAGTCTCATGTGAAGCTGTGTTCTTAGCCACACGCCCTTCCCTGGCTGGGTCTCTGAAGGCCGGTGGGGTTGGGGCTGGGACTGTGTCTGTTTTTTGGGTAAGACCTGGGTGATGAGGGCTTCACATGCACCACACCTCTAACTTGGTGGCCCTGTGTCCTTGTAGGTGGTAATGTGGACCTGGAAGGCCAAGCTGAGGGGAAGAAGGAGGTGGAAGCTGATGATGTGATGAGGAGTGGCCCGCGACCCATCGTCCCATACAGCTCCATGTTTTGTTTAAGCCCCACCAACCTGTGAGTCTCCTTCGCCTGCCCATGCCACCATGTGCCTGTCCCATGTCTGTGGCCGTGGTCCATGTGCACGGTAGCAGCGTATGCTAGACGTGACCTGGCAGGCACTGATTCTGTGCACTTTACATGTCCTGATCATCACAGCAATCTGCAAGCACTCCCTACAGATGAGGACACAGAGCCACGGGGAAGGTCCATGCCCTGTCCACAGACACACAGCCAGTCAGCCCTAGTGGTAGAGCTGGGGTTTGAACCCAGACAGTTAGCCCCAGAGCCACTACCCCCCACTGCAGTGACTGTTCATCGCAGCACACACGCACCCAGTTTATGTCCCTCATGTGTCCACCTTCCATCATGCCCACTGTCCATGCATGCATACCTCTGTGCACCGTGTTCACTCACATGTCTGTCCATTTTTCTCCCCTCTGTTTATCATGAAGTCACCAGCATTTCTCATCCACTCATCAGTCCATCTACTGCACTGGGTCATCCAGTACTTACATACTAACAGCATTTTAGGTGCTGGGAATACAGAGTAAGGAGCGGAACAAACAAGGACCCCTGTCCTCGATAAGCTTCTGTGCAAGTAGGAGAGACAGACAGCAAACCAGACAAATAAGTAAGGGGCCTAAGACGTCACATGGTGGGAAGTACTAAGAGGAAGCACAAAGCTGCCGGGGGTGTGAATGTTGGGGTGGGAAGGTCAGGCTGGGTGTCAGTGGGAGATGAGATTGGTGAGGGGGGGGAGGGAGACCAGCCCTGGCAACAGATAGAGGAAGGTGTGTGGATCAAGGCCACACACTTGGTAGCGCAGGAGGGCCAGAGGGCAGCAAGATCTGATGGAGTCAGGCTGTGCCCTGCGTCCCCATCCCTCCACGCCTGCAGTCTCTTTAGCCAGCCTCCACTCCGTCCCTCTCTTTACGCTTTCACTCAGCACACATTTCCTGGGAGCTTACTCTGCGCCGCTAGGGAGTGTGGCCCCTGCCTGTGAGCACTGGTGTGTGGAGGAGGGAGCAGAGAGGTTGTAGGCAGCTGGGGGTCAGTGGGGACACCGTCAGGCTGTACTTCAGCAGAGTCCTTGCACAGAGCTTAGTAGGGGTCAAGGTTTTCAGGAAGAGATGGTCGAGATCTGATGATGGTGGTCATGTGGGGAGGTTTGGGAGTGAAATGCTTGGGAAGACATTTTGGAGAGAATCTAGGGAACTGGATAAATTAGATGTGGAAGGGGAAGGAGATGTCAGGGATGACACCCAGAGTTTCTGCATGACGGCTGGGGCCCCACTGAGCTGGGGGCAGGCGAGTGCAGATCCTGCAGAGCAGGGGCAGCTAGTGGATGTCTCGTGGCCAGGTGGACTCACCTGACTAGGGGTAGAGCTGAGGGTGGATGGTCAGTCCTGAGATGCAGAAGGAAAGACGCAGAGACAGAGTGTTCTGGAGGAAGGAGGAGGGGTCTGTCTGTACAGAGGAAGGCGTGCCAGGAGCTATGGGGGGAAGGGGCCTGGGAAGGGTGGCTGGGAAGGGTAGCTCTGGTCTGCGTGGAGGCTGGAGTATGGCAGTGGTCATGGCGAAGGGGATAGCACAGTAGTCCCTTCAAGGCAGAGAGAGAGGCGGGTGGGTGTGGCTGGGAGGTGGAAGGTCCCTTCAGACCTAAGACCCTAAGAGTAGGGAAATGGGGTGAGAGAGAGGGGCAGGTCGCAGAGGTGAGACACGGGTCTGTCCCTGCCCTGCCTGTGTGCTGGTTCTGTGGCTGCCCCTCCTTGTCACCTGGGACCAGCTTCACCGCCCCCCCCCGAGGGTTCTTCCCAGGCCTCCTGGTCCCTGCTGCTGTGCTGTAGCATTTGTGAGCATCTGAGGGCCTCCTGTTGGTGTATGTCCACACTGTTTTCTGGTGCCCTGTCCACCACTGGGCCCCAGTGTCCGGCATGTGCCCGAACAGAACAGAAAAGTGGTCAGTAATGCTGCCTGGTGCTGCAGGGAGGCAGGTGACAGACACATGCAGCTCTGGGGACCCAGTCAAGCCGGGCCAGCACAGACCCAGAGAAGTTTCCTGAGCTCTCCAGAGAGGCCTGCTGTCCACAGGAGTGCTGGTGTTCAGCCTTGTCCTCTCTGAGCAGCCCTCCCCCCCCACCAACAGGCTTTGTAAATCTGCAGAAGGCACCACTGTCCACACATACAGGAGGTGAATGCGTGGGCTGACCCCTGCTGTGGGTTTCTGCAGCCTTCCCACCCCTCTTCCTGGGGCACCCGCTCGAGAATCTGAGGCACCATTGGTCACCTGGCCGCTGTCTCCCAACCACAGGGACACTCAGTAGAACTTGGTTCTGGTGTGACGCCTTCCGCAGGGAGAGGCCAGGCATGCGCTCCGGTGAGGGGGACCAGCCCAGCTCATCGGTGGGCCTCGGGCGATCTGTGCTTTGCCCTGCAGGCTCCGCCGCTTCTGCCATTACATCGTGACCATGCGGTACTTTGAGATGGTCATTCTCGTGGTCATCGCCCTGAGCAGCATTGCCCTGGCTGCTGAGGATCCAGTGCGGACAGACTCGCCCAGGAACAACGTGAGCACGGCCCTCAGGTGGTGGAGGGACTGGGCCGTGCCAGGGTCCTGTCTGCTCCCTCTGGAGGTGTGGGGTGTGGGGATGAAGGTCTGCGGGCACCTCCTGGTCCAGCCCTGAGTTGCAGACGAAGAGCGGGCATGTGCCTGGGGCCAGAGCCGCTGCTGGGGCAGGGGTGGGGGGGCTTGGCTCACAGGCACACTTGCCAAGGAGTTGTCTGTTCAGAGGCCCGGAGGAAAAGCATGATGCTGCTGACGTTGTCCAGGCTCAAGCTGTCGGCCCAGCCTTTGACAGTAACCTTCCTGTTGGTTCTAGGCTCTGAAGTACATGGACTACATTTTCACAGGCGTCTTCACCTTTGAGATGGTGATCAAGGTGAGATACGTGGTTGCCCTGGTGGCCCAGTACTCCGCTCATCCTCCCTCATGACTGACACGGGCTGGGGCCTGTAGCCTCTGATGAGGGCATGTGGTGGGTGTGCCCTGGGTGTGTGCTCAGTGAGAGAATGCGTGCACATGAGTGTGCTGATGTGTGTTGCAGAGGGCAGAGGCCAATTCACCAAAGATTCACTACAGTGTTACACCAGCTTTGGGAGAGCACCCCAGTGCCGTTCCTGTCTCCACCACCCCGCTAAGGGTTACCAAGGGTTACAGGCTTCCGGGAACATGCAAGTGTGGGCTCAGCCCACCCTCAGGATTGTCTCGTGATGTCAAGCTGGGAAGAGCGAGGGCCCCAGCACCCAAACATCATGGCAAGTGGGCGCTGAAGACTTTTGTTTCAAAGAGCTGTAGTGCTTCATGTTAGGTTACAGACTGACCATTTCATTGTGGTCGCTTCTGTCTCTGAGTGCTGACAGGCATTGCTCCTTTATCAGTGTCTGACAAGTGGCTGTGCACGTGTGTGCACACACGTGTGCCATCTTTGACTACAGGGCAGCTTAGGATGTGCCCATGGCCTGTGACTTTCGTGTGTGTGTGTGTGCGTCTGTCTGTCACCTCTGCTTCTTCACTTCCTCTTGCAAACTCATGGGAGAGGCTTTTTTTTTTTTTTTGGTCATCCCATTTTATAGACATGGAAGCTGAAGCTTGGAGACATTAAGGTGCTTGCCAGAAATCACAGCTTTAGGGATGGCAGAGCCAGGTCTTCCTCCTGCTTTCAGAGAGTTGACCCTCTGAGGGTCTGGGCAGGGCGTGAGCTTCCTGGCATGGCGTATGCTTGCAGCCCAGCAAGGGGAGGGGCTTCTCCAGGGAATTTGGGAGCCCAGGCAAGATCTCAGCCAGTCATGACCATGTAGGGATATTTGGATCAATGGCATTGAGGCTTGAAGGCCCACTGAGGCCCTCAGGGGACCTGATCTGAGCGGCATCCTTCCTCCCAACCCCATGAGTCTGGGGCCTGGCCCTGCTTTTCTTTCTGAAATAGTCAGCATCTAATATATGTTTCTCCCCTGAAGATGATTGATTTGGGACTGCTCCTGCACCCTGGGGCCTACTTCCGGGACCTATGGAATATTCTGGACTTCATCGTGGTCAGTGGGGCCCTGGTGGCATTTGCCTTCTCGTAAGTACCATGTCTGCTCTGGGTCTGACTGGGCTGCAGTCCCAGAGCTGTGGTGGGTGTGGGGGTAAGGGAAGGAGGGGGCCCCAGTGGCCTCCATGGGCTGTCTACTTGGAGCTGGGCTGTGTGGGGTTGAGAGCATCTCAAGGCCCACTTGTCCCTGCCACGGCTTGTGGTTCTGACATTGGGTGGGCAGGCCTCTGGTTTGTTTGGTGCCTGCCTATTGGATCTTTCAGAACAACTCACCTACCCTGACCTCGGCTGCACCGCTTGGTCAGCCAGAACTGGTGGGTATCTTCCCCTGTCGGAGTGTTAGACCTTTGGTTCTCTGACTCCCTAGTGGGAGACACTCAGCTCCCTTGTGGCTGGGCCTGGATTGACTCCCTCAGACCCTGCATGGTGGTGGGCATGGGACAGGTGTGGGGGGCTTGGGTGGAGCTACGGAGGAGACCCAGAGATCAGGAAGATCTGAGGGACGTGTCTGCATCTTCTCTGAGCACTCGGGGAGGGCGAGGCCCCCTCACTGACTCTCTTCTCTTTGTCTCTTTGTTGCTGGACTCTCGGTAGGAGCTTCATGGGGTAATGCCTTCCCTCTGCCCCTCACACTGCCCCACATCATAGCCCAGCATGGCCCCTCCTGGGCCGGTTCGCCACCACGCCTCACCTCCGCTCACCCTCCTCCACTCTCCAGAGTGCATGCTGCCAGGAGCCATGTCCCCAGGCCATGCGTTGCTGCCTCACCTCTGGGGGGCTGGGTTGGGGGCTGGGTCTGGGGAGGTGCCCAGTGAGCAGGGCACCCCAAGTGAGTGCTGGAGACCAGGAATGTGGGCCCTGAGGGCAGTGAGGGCTCTTGGTGGGGGCTGCTGTAACCATGACTGCCAGGATGTTGGTACCTTCCTGAGGTACCTTCCCATGTCTTTTCTCCGGCAAAGAGGCTTGCTTTCTTCTCTCTGTTCTCTGCAGCTGCCTCCCTGCAATGCCCAGCATCTTCTCTGGGGGTCTTCACCAATTTTCTTTGTATATAAAGTGTCAGTCAGGGGCTTAGGAGTAAGACAGGGGAAGGGGTACAGTCTAGCCGGTGACCTCAGAGCCAGAGAAAGGCACTGAGCTGGCAAGCGAGAAATGAGGCCTCTTGACACACAACACAGACCACCTTGAGGCCTGTCCCTGCAGAGAGCCCTCCCCTGCAAAACCAAAGCAGTGTCCCTCCCTTCTGCATCCCTCAGGTGTCTGCCCGCCCGCCCTGCCCCCTCTTCTCTCTCTACTGGTCTCAACAGGGCTGCTGGAAGAACCTGGTTTGGGGGCAGGTGTCCAGAATGCTGGGGTGATAGAAACACCTGACACGGTGGTCTGGAGGCTGGGTGTTTCAGAGGGAGTTTGATCTGGTTCTGGATTGTAGGCCTTGGCTGGGTCTTGGGGCAGATGTGAGGGACTGGGGCTCCCCAGCTCTCCTTAACCCACAGATCCTACCTGGACCTCACAGCTCACTTTCCCTAGAGCTGAGCAGGAGCCCAAAGAAGACTGCTGGAGGCCCTGTCCCCTCTTCCCATGCGCAGGCTCCTTGGGAACGTGGAGGGAGGTGACCTCTGAGCAGGCTGGAATAGGATCCCCAGTCCTGAGTCCTCAGCCACTGCTGAGGGTGGGGTGTGGCCTGGCTTCTAAGAATTGCCTCCTTAGGCAGTCTATGAAGGTCACTCAGGGGACCACCCCCCACCCCCGATATCTGCCCTGGCTTTGGGTTGGTGAGAAGGCCAGCCCCCAGAGTGTGACAACGGCTGGGCCCCTGGCAGCCTGAGGGAGCCACCTGGCTCTGCTCCGGCGGCTTCCTTTGTGAGGGGCCCGATGTGGGCCCCCTGGTCCTGGATCTCCAAGCTTGCATCTGGTGCCTGGAATTTTCTTTTCCTGACCCCCAGTCTGGGTTTTCTTGTCTGTCTGTCTGTGGGCTCTTACCGCCGCCTCCCTCCCTGTCTGTTTCTTTCTCTTTCCTTTGATATTTCTTTCTTCTTCTGTCCACCCCTTGCATTGCATTGTCCCTTATATCACCTTGGTATTCGTCTAACTTTTTCTCTTTCTTACTCTGCTTCACTCTTTCCCTTCCTTCAGGCCTACCACCCCTCTCCTCCTCTCCCTGTCAGTTTTACATCATCTGGAGGAGTGTGGGAGCAGCTGAGCAGGGACAGGCAGGGAGATCCAGACATGTTCCCCTTACCCTTCCTCTACCAGGACTGAAAAGCAAAGAAACCAGCCCTACCAGAAGGCTCTTGCTCTGATGGCTTGTGGGCTTGCAGGTGCTGGCCCTGAGCTAGGTCTGCATTCCTGGGGCCAGCCCCCTTCTCTCCTCTTTATTCTCATTGTTGGTCTCAACATGGCGGCCAGATGAAGCTGGTTTGGGTGGGTGTTAGGGGACCACTGGCATAGAAATGGCTGATGTGGTCTGTGAGAATGGGTTCTTCCCACCTGGAAGCCCAGCTTTCCCTGTACACGAGGTGCTGTTGTCCTGGCCCTGGCCTTTGTTCAGATGAGGCCTTTGTCATGCAACCCACAGGAGGAGGTGCGGTGGCCTGTGGTACTTGCAGGGCAGAGGCCTCCCTGTTCCTAGGTATTCCCCGCCCTGGGGCCTAAGACAAAATGCACAGGGGAGTGCAACCCAGTAGGCTTTGTGGGAACTGGGCATGGGTGTGCACCCTGCCTGTCTGCATGTGTGACTTCTCCCTTCTAGAGGATCCAAAGGGAAAGACATCAATACCATCAAGTCCCTGAGAGTCTTGCGTGTCCTGCGGCCCCTCAAGACCATAAAACGGCTGCCTAAGCTCAAGGTGAGAGCCTGGAGTTGGGGCTTGAGCAACGTGCAGGGCTGTGCATGTACATGTGAGTGTAGGCCTGTGTGTGCATGTCTGTGTGCTGTGCATGTGTGTGTTGTGTGGAGGCGGTTGCATTGCATGTGAGTGTGCTTACATGTGTGTGCCTGTGTGCGTGAATGTGGATGTGTGCTGTGTCTTGTGAGTGCACGTGTGTCCATATAACTAACCCTGTCTGGCTGTAGCTTCCCACGTGGGATGGGAGGGAGGACCCACACTTGTTTTCTCAGATCACACATTTTTAAGTGGGTCCAGCTCCCTCAGTTCCATGACTCTCCCCAAAGGGGAGCTTACTCTCCATAGTGCTCTGGAAGGTTCTTCCTTGACCCAGCAGCACCAACAGCTGTTGTAGGGGGAAGGAGGGGCTGCCGAGGGGTGCCTGGGTGGTTAAATTTCCAACTCTTGATTTTGGCTCAGGTCATGATCTCACAGTTGTGAGATGGAGCCCTGCGTCAGGGTCCGTGCTCAGTGGAGAGTCTGCTTGGGATTCTTTCTCCCCCTTGCCCTTCCCCCCCCTCATTAAATTAAATTAAATTAAATTAAATTAAATTAAATTAAATTAAAAAAAAGAAAGAAGGGGCTTCTGAGAGACGCAGAGGGTCCTGAGGGAGATGCAGGGAGGGCAGGGGGTCCTGAGAAGTGGTTCCTGGGCTGGGCCTGAGGTTCTGGATGAGGTGTGGCTGAGGTTCTGGATAAAGGAAAGAGTGTGAACCCATCTGCCCATGCCTCCCCCTCTAGCACCTCCTACCCACTCTACAAGTCCTGGGAGAGGCAGCGGCAGGTGGCTTCCTGTGTTAAGGTGGTGGGCAGCAGGTCCCTCTGCGATTATGGGCCTGAGGGCCCTGAGGTTCTGAGCAGAGCCCTCCTCCCCTCCAGGCCGTGTTTGACTGTGTGGTGAACTCGCTGAAGAATGTCCTCAACATCCTGGTCGTCTACATGCTCTTCATGTTCATATTTGCTGTCATTGCGGTGCAGCTCTTCAAAGGGAAGTTTTTCTACTGCACGGATGAGTCTAAGGGGCTGGAGAGGGACTGCCGGTAAGCTGAGGCAGGGCCGGGGGCGGGGAGCCCTGTGAGGGCAAGGGCGAGCGGCCTGAGTGGGGTGTACCGGAGAGCTGGGGGTGTGCCTCTGTCCCCAAGGCCACACCGAGGACTTTTGGCTCATTTTCCTCAGCAGAGTCAGGAACCAGCCACTTCTGAGGGAATGTTCTTCCTGCCCATAGACATCGGGGAACACTTGGGGGCCACTGGGGTAGGTACTGGTGTGGATGCTGAGCAAGGCAGTGTGGCCAGCCCCTTCTCCACCACAGGCAGGGGTCCCAGTTGCCTCTGTTCATGCAGTGGTCTCTTGTGTGAGTATGGTACCATGTACTTACCCCTCTGTGCCTGGTGGACATCGGGGGTGTTTCCAGTCAGAGGCTCTCGTGACTCGTTCAGTGCACGTTTGCCGGGAGCACACATACACAGTTCCAGGACGTGTGCAGACCTCACAGTTGGATTGCAGGGTTGTGCACTGTGCTTATGTTCAGCTTCCACAGGTGCTGCCAAATATGTGTGTAAAATCACGCTCTTGCACACGGATGAGAGCTCCAGTACTCCACAGCATGGGCAGACTTGTGTTTTCTGACATTGGGCTGGTGGCATTTATCTGTGGTGTGATTTGCACTGTGTGGTAGCCAGTGGTGTTGGGCGCCTCCCCAGGTGATCAAACACTCAGCTTTCCCTGGGAAGGGTCTGTGCAAGCCTTTGCCTGTTTCCCTGTATGGGTTGTCTTTCTCTTTCTGATTGATTTGTAGGGATTTTGTAAGGTCCTAGGTAGTCATCCTTTGTCAGATCTATGGATTATGGTTGTCGTCTTCTCCTTTGTGGGGTGCTTTCAACTTTTTAAAACATGTCTTCTAAAAAACAAAGTCTTGATTGTAGTATAGTCCAATTTATCTCTGTTATATTTAGTACTCTTTGTGTCCTGTTCAGAAAACCTATCTGAAGGTCAGGGAGAAGTCCTCTTATGTTTTCCTCGAAAAGTTTTATTTTTACCTTTCACATTTAGATCTGGGATCTATCTGCGGTTGATTTTTGTGTGTTAGGTGAGGTTTGGATAAAGATAAATTTTCTGTAGATGGACATCCAGTTGATCCAGCACCATTTATTTGAAAAGACCCATCCTTTCCCCCATTTAGTGGTAGCCTTTGTTTTCACTAAGATGTAATTCATGTGATTCATCCATTGAAAGTATACAATTCAGTGATTTTTTAATACATTCACAGATATGTGCCATCATCACCACAATTTTAGAACATTTTCATAAGTTAAAAAAACATAAAAAGCTCCCATATTCTTTATTACCCACTAGCTCCCCATCTCTAGCCCTAGGCACCCATGAATCTATTTTTTTGTTATATGAACAAATTTCCCTGTTCATATACAGGAAATTGTAAATATGTGGTCTTTGGGGTCTAACTTCTTTCATTTAGCTTCATGTTTTTGAGGTCACCCACGCTGTAGCGTGTGTCAGAACATCATTCCCTTTTATGGTTGGATGTTATTCCGTGCTATAGATGTGGCACAGTTTCTTTATTCATTCATCTGTTGATGGGCATCTGGGTTGTTTCCATTTTGGGCTGTTACAACTGATGCTGCTGTGAACATGCATGTGAAGTATTTGTGTGGACAGATGTTTTCATTTCTCTGGAGTGTATACCTAACCCTGGAATTGATGGGTCCTGTGGTGATTCTGTTTACCAGTCTCAGGGACTGCCAGACTTTTCTAACATGGCTGATCCATTTTATATTCCCACCAGCAGTGTGGGAGAGTTCTGATTACTCCACATCCTTGCCAGTACTTGTTATTTTCCTTTTTAAAAATTAATTATAGCCATCCTAGTGGGTATAAAGTGATATCTCATTGTGGTTTTCATTTGCATTTCTTGGATGACTCATGATGTTGAGCATCCTTTCATGTACTTATTGTCCATTTGTATATCTTCTTTGGAGAAATGCCTATTCAGATATTTTATCCATTTTTATTAATCGGGGTATTTGTCTTTTTTATAATTGATTATAATAGTTCTTTATATATTCTAGATTCAACTCCTATCAGAGAGACGATTTTCCAATATTTGGTCCCATTCTGTGTGTTGATGATGTCTCTGAAGCACAAAGCTTTACATTTTGATGACGTCAAATTGACCTACTTTTTTCTTTTGCTGCTCATGATTTCAGTGTTGTGTCTAACAACCTTTCCCTAATTCCAGGCCTCCTGTGTCTTCTTCTAACAGCTTTCTAGTGTTAGCTTTTGTACCTTTAGGTCTGGTCCATTTTGAGTTGAGTTTTGTACATGGCGTGAGGTAGGGTCCAGCTGCCTTCTTTCACAAGTGGACGCCCAGTTGTCCCACTCTCTCTGTTGAGAAGACTGTTCTTCCTCCATTGGATGGACAGCCCTTTCAAAAATCAGTTGACCATAGACAAATCAGCCTGTTTGGACCCTCTGTCTCTAACCTCTGACCTCGTCTATGTTCTCATCCCCAGGGGTCAGTATTTGGATTATGAGAAGGAGGAGGTGGAAGCTCAGCCCCGGCAGTGGAAGAAATACGACTTTCACTACGACAATGTGCTCTGGGCTCTGCTGACACTGTTCACAGTGTCCACAGGAGAAGGGTGGCCCATGTGAGTGCTCACTGGCTCATTGTGGCAGATCACGCTAGAGCAGAGGGGCAGCTTGGGCAGGGAGTCTCAAACTCTGCATCCGTTTGTGTTCTAGTCTTCCAGCAAATACACCATA